CAGACAGTGCCGGTTGGCGACCCCCAGGGGGAGAGCCTTCTCTGTCGGAGCGCCCACCCTCTGGAACGAGCTGCCCCCAGAGATCCGGGTGATTCCGGATCTCCCCTCCTTCCGCCGCGCCCTCAAGACCTGGCTGTTTCAGCAGGCAGGACTGGCCTAGGGGTAATTTTAAATTGGTTTTAATTAAATTTTAGTAGTGTGGCCAATTCGAATATTTATTTTTAATTTATCTTAGATTTGTATTTTGTGTAATTGTTTTAACTGGCTGTAAGCCGCCCTGAGTCCTCCGGGAGAAGGGCGGGGTATAAATGAAATAAATCCTAAATCCTAAATCTAGAAACCAAATGTAACTAGTAGAAGTAATATCATATAGGACATTTTTACCAGCAAGGTCTGAATTCACTCACATCCTGGTCTGAGAGATACCAATTTTTTAGACCATGGAGAGATTAGCACCTGTTGGTTTAGAATAGATATTTGTTTGTTTGTTTGCTTAATTAATTAATTAATTAATATGGCCACCCATCTCAATACATGACTTTGGGGGGCTAGCAAAATTAAAAATATTTGTTCTTTGTTTTGTTCTAACAAAATATCAACTGTTAATATTGCTTTAAAAAGAGTAGGACTTGGGCCTGAAAAAGAGTAGGACTTGGGCTAAATCATGCTTTATGTTAAGAGTCCTGGTGGTGCAGTGGTTAAAGTGTATTATTGCAGGCAAACTGTCCATAGTTCAAGCTTGACAAAGCTCAAGGTTGAGTCAGCCTTCCACCCTTCCAAGATCAGTAAAATGAGGACCTAGATTGTTGGAGGCAATATGCAAATAATGCTTCTACTTTGTAAATTGCTCTGAGAGTGCTGTAAAGCACTATATAAGCCTAATTGCTATTGCTATTATTTCTTATCTCTGGCTTAGGATATTTGATTATTTCCTTCCTTCCTTCCTTCCTTCCTTCCTTCCTTCCTTCCTTCCTTCCTTCCTTCCTTCCTTCCTTCCTTCCTTCCTTCCTTCCTTCCTTCCTTCCTTCCTTCCTTCCTTCCTTCCTTCCTTCCTCAGAATATTTGTTTTAAAGAAATAACTTTACGAAAATACACGGACAAACAAACCATTTGATTTGGCGAGTGAGGATACTGAATAATTTTAACAATATCAGAATGCAGAATGAAAAAGATATAGTTCAGTAATAGCATGCATGCTCGTGCGCGCGCGCGCGCACACACACACACAATTCCAATACAAAATATAATGTAACTTGCCACTTTGTCAGTCTAATGCAGGGGTCTTCAAAGTTGGCCCTTTTATGACTTGTGGACTTCAACTCTCAGAATTCTGGGAGTTGAAGTCCACAAGTCATAAAAGGGCCAACTTTGAAGACCCCTGGTCTAATGTGATTCATTGCCATAGATTCAGCTTTAACTTAATGCGCAGGCAAACCGCAAGTAAAAATAGTACAGAAATGTTGACTAGTTGTACTATGCATTAGTAAAAATTCTAAACTCGATTGCTTTTATCAGGTTTGCTGAAGCAAAATCTTTGGGACAAAAAGTAAATGATGTAAGACATCAAATCAGTAAGTATGAATATTTTCTTTTTTAATATCCAAATTATATTACATATTACACTGACTAAAACATTATACCTGCCACTAGAATGAGTTAATTAGATTTTTCCCTATTCTGATAATTAGCAATATTTTATTACTTATACTAATTTCCTGTTTGTTTAATAAGCTTGTTTCTTCAATTTCAGTCCATTCTGTTAATTCTAGCAATACACATCCAATTTATATAAATCTCAAGGTTAAAAGAGTTTTCTATTTCAGAATTCTTCCTCTTAACTCTGATTATGCTAATTGGGCAACAGAAACAGTATAGTTTATTTGTCATATGACTATAAAGAATGGCATACATCAAATCATACATGGCTACTTCTCTGATAGAATTATACTGAAAAACCAGCACATAGGAATTATACCCGTGTGTGCTTGAAGCTAGATATTTACGTTACTGTATTTTTGTTTTAGATTCCATCAAGCATTTGTGGCTACTCTAGTATGTTCAATGAAGTCCATATCAGTATTATTTTGTATTTGCTAGCCAACACTTAATAATATGATATTCTTTCCCACAAAGGTCATCAGAGGACCTTTTGGTGAGCCACTTGATGCAATGTAGAATCCATATTACAGTCTTGATGATTTGTAATGGTCATGACAGATAGTGGTTGACTCTATTTTAAAATTCTACCGCAAATATTTTAACATTCTGATTTTCCACTGGAGCGATCACTGTTTCACAACAGAGGTATGGAAAAAATCTAGCCACTTTCCATGATATACAGTGGTATGCCATGATGCTTGCAATGAGGTGATCTTAGTTGTATATTTTAGTAGTTCTCCCAACTTTTCAAAGGGATCAAAGAGTAGAATTCACAAGTGCTAAATCTGCAGCTAAGTTGCAATCACCAAAATATACTGCTGCAAAATGAATATTTTTTCTACTATTGTGTGATAGAACAAAAAAATAAATGAATTGCTACCATGAATATGTTGCTTTGTATCTGAAAATTGATATTAATCATTATAATGAGTGCTGAAGTTGAGACTTGTCTAAAATCATGTAATAATATATTTATAAAAATGGTAAGACTGGTACATATGGGTTTCTGTTCTAAATTTAAATTAGAAAGGACTATCTGAAAGGGGAATTTTTGAAAATCATGCATTAGTTTCCCAGAAATTAAAGGAAGTTATCATGCATACTTAATCCCAAATGGGAAACTATGGGAAGGGCTAATGAGCAATGTCAGTAGCATAATATACAGTATATTACCCAAGGTCTTACAATCTTGGCAAAGAGAAGGAATCATTAAATGCAAAGAAAATGAAGACAATATTAATGTTTCAATGATCAAAAGGTGCTATAACTTTTTGTGTGTGCATACAAGCTTCATGATGATAGGTAAGGCTCAGCCCTCGTGATGTTTATGATGTTTTCAGTTCTTCAGTGCTTTGCACTCATAGAATTTGTAACTATGTCAAAGACTAGCAGTGCTTTTCAAGAAGTCCACTTATAAACTTTTCAAAAAAATCTACCAAATTCTTTGTCCCAAAGATGCTTTTTCAAGAGGCCACTGGACTTTCTTGTTTTTCTTTGAAGAAATTTCACTTCCAATCCAAGAAGCTTCTTCATCTGTGACTGGATGGTGGGGAATGGAAGGATTTATATTCCTTGCAGATAGCTGGTCATTTGCATTCTTTTATAGAGTCATTGAGGCCACTTGGAGGTTTATCTGTGTGCTTAGGGTCTCCTGAGTAGTGCAAATGGGTGTAAAGCCTTCTTGGAACTACTGAAAGGACTATGTTGTAGACTGGATATAGATGATGTCATATCCCTCCTCCTCTGTTGAGAGAGGACTACTCAGTTTTGACATAAATGGCCTCTTTAACCACTCTTTCAAATCAGCGATCCTCTCTGTCCAAAATGTGGACTGTGCTGTCTTCGAAAGAATAGCCTTTGTCTTTTAAATGCAAATGGACTGCTGACTCTTGTCCTGATGAGTTTGTTCTCCTATATCAGTGATGGCGAACCTTTTAGAGACCAAGTGCCCAAACCGCAACCCAAAACCCAATTATTTATCACAAAGTGCCAGGGCTGCATCAGCATTGTGGTGCCCTCGGGGAGCATGGGGGTGTGGCCCACTGGGTGGGCATGGCTGCGGTTGTCACGGCAGACTGGGTGGGCATGGCTGGGGTGGGCATGGCCACGATGTTGCTCATGGGGGGACACCTGTGGAGCCGGGCAGGGTTGGGGGAGATCCAGGAGGTCTCTGGCGGGTGGGGCTGTGGGCAGGAGGCCCAGCATAGATGGGGGGAGGCATGCAATCCTAGCTGGGACTGGGGGGCCATGGCGCCGATGGGGTGGCCTTTGGCTTGCTGGATATGGGTGTGTTCTACCACCTCGGGGTGGCCTTTGGCTTGCTGGATATGGGTGTGTTCTACCACCTCTACCCGAGCTTGCTAGCTGGCCGCTTCGCCTCCTTTGTGCTGGGTGGAGCCGCCGCACTGGGCAGTGGCGACCTAATGGACCTGCACAAGCTGCTGTGGCATGCATGCCCACAGAGAGGGCTTTGAGTGCCACCTCTGGCACGCGTGCCACAGGTTCGCCTCCACTGTCCTATATTATGCCATGCAGGCTTCAGCAGTCTATCTGCATTTAAAAAACAGCAAAGTCCACATTTTGGGCAGAGAGGACCGCTGGTTTGAAAGAGGGGTCAAAGAGGCCATCTATCTCAAAATTGAACAGCCCTCTCTCAACAGAGGGGGAGGGATACGACATCATCTATCTCCTGTCTACAACACAAGAAGCATTTTATAGAAAAAAAAATACAAGTAGTCCTCGACTTACAACAGTTCATTTAGTGACCATTCAAAGTTACAACAGTGCTGAAAAAAGGGACTTAAGACCATTTTTCACACTTACAATATTGCAGCATCCCTGTAGTCATGTGATCAAAATTCAGATGCTTGGCAACTGGTTCATATTTATGTTATGTTATGTTCATATTTATTGTTGTGTCCCAGAGTCATGTGATCCCCTTTTGTGACCTTCTGACGACCAAAGTCAATGGGGAAGCCAGATTCACTTAACAACCGTGTTACTAAATTAACAGCTGCATTGGTTCACTTAACAACTGGCAAGAAAGGTCATAAAATGGGGCAAAACTCACTTAACAAGTGTTTCACATAGCAACATACATTTTGGGCTCAATTGTGGTCATAAGTTGAGGTAGGTAAAAAAAATGGTTAACTTATCAAGAGTTCTTAGAACAGACATGGAAAATATAAGAGGACATTGAGATATCAACTGGCTCTAGAGGGATTTAGTTTTTAGTGTTTTTAATATGTACAGTTAAGAGAAAGATTTAAGGTAGAAAATAGGACATTTGGAATGGAGCAGCAGAAGACATAATTTGAAGATGAAGTTGAACAATGTAGAAATTATGAACATGCAATAGCTATAAAGTATAAACTTATATTGAAATTTGAAACAGAAATAGAACAAGTGAAAGACCATATGATAAAATGGGCTAAGTACTTTGGACACAAGAGTAACATATAGAAGGAAATAAATTGTTATGTAATCTTAGAGTGGATCGAATATAAATCTTTTATAACCATTGTCAAAAAACCCAGAAGCTTCTTTATAATCTTTTATTTTCTTTTTCCTATTTTCTTTCTTACTTATTTTCTATTCTTCCTTAATTTCTTTCTTTGAAATATTTTCATTGTTTTTATCTTGTTAAAAGTTATTCAATAAAAATTATATTAAAAAAAGAAGATGTGAAAAAAGTAAAGTTCTTCACAGTGGTCAAAATGTAACTTAATATTTTTGGAAATGCACTCTAGACAAAAGCATAAAACTGGACAAATCCAGGCCACATGATCCCCACCCCTAAAATAACTGTTGAAAAAGATAGGATCTTTTTAAAAAGATCCTATCTTTTTCTTCTTTAATTAGTAATTAAGTAAGATATTTCATTAACTTATTTAGTCCCTCAATATGAACGTGAAATTTATTCCATTAATTGGCCTAAACTTTTCAGAAGTGGAAAAAATCAGTGCAAATAATTTATAATTAATTAAATTATTTAATTTTCTTAAGGGAAACAGTTGTTCTTGTTATTCTGTGCAAAAAATCAATTAATGCTGTAATTGAAGCTGAGTGTAAAAAGAAAGATAAATTATTGTTGTTCCAAAGTTTTAGTTAAAACAAGACTCCTAGAAATAGGATTTCCTAGTAAGTCAGTAAGAATGTATACTATTTCATTCTTTATTTAATAAATGTTCCTCATTTATATATAATGCCACTACTACCACATAGTACAATTGCATCACTCCATTTGTTATATTGATAGCAATGGTAGAGAAGAAGTGCAAATTCATTGGCTAGAAATTTGCTATTTTTCTATAGCGCTACATGTTGTTGTTCGTCCATCGATTTCGATGAAGACCTTGACATCTTATGGATTATGGGCCATCAATGGTGTGTCCGTAGATGGCTGATGAGACCGATGTTAGCACGGAATGTTCTGCCACATACTGAACAGAGAAATGTAGACACTATTGCTTCAGCATTTGCAGCTCTGGCTTTACGGAGTGCTCGCTTCTCTTGTGCCAAGATTGTCCTTCTGTGTTCATACATCTGGCAACCCTGGTAAACCAGGGTACACCATGTCGGTCGATCATGCACCAAAAATTCCCAAGAGATGGTGTTGATATCCAGGGACTTGAGAGATGCTTTCAGCGTGTCTTTGTATCGCTTCTTTTGTCCCCCGTGCGATCCCTAAACAGCTCTTCTATGGTGAGCTGTCTCAAGGAAAGCGCTACATAAAACTTAGTCAAAAGACAGTGCTATGTCTTTTGTGTACTGGTATCACAATTAGTACATTTTTCAGTTATGATAAATAATTGGGAAACCACTAAAGGAAAATGGGAACACATTAGTTCTTCTTACATTTCTATCTTAGTTCCTCAATTTTTTTCCAATCACATGCCTTTTTCTTCAGTTT